GAACAGATTTCACGGTGATTTTGTAGAATTAAACCTGCAAATCCATGGAGAATGCTGACACTTAGGGTAGGTGTTCTCAAAGCGTGGTCTGACCAGCATCATCAGCCTCATCTAGGAACTTGTTAGAAATGCAGAAAATGCAGATTCTAGAGCCCACCTCAGACCTACTGAATCCGAGCTCTGGGAGTGGCACCCAGACAGCCATGTTCGACAAGACCTCATGTGATTCTGATGCATGCCAAATTTTGAGAACCACTGATTTAGGGGTAGACTCTTCAAACTAATCCTTCAGATGCTGTAATTGCCACTAATAGCCCCAAATAAGGTAGTTAGTATTGCTTTTATACCTATTCTACTCTTGTTGACATTTTGCTTTGCCCTTTGCTCCAGTTTTGTGCAGTTTCCTCCTCGGACTGTAAGTTCTAATACAAAATCCCTGTCTCATACTTCCAGCCTCTTGATCTGAGAACACTTACTGTGATTGCATGCTCCTCTATAACAATAATATACTAGGATATAAATCCTTGCATCCCATTGTTCATGTGATGCAAATATTAACTTTTCAAATACTAGCTTTTGTCCCTAAATTTTTGTAATTCCTGGCCCTTCCCCATTCAGACAACTGCTATATGCACCTAGGGATATTGAAAAGAAAAAAGGCCTTTGACTTTCAAAAGTTGAAACCTTCCGGCTCTGGTTTGAGGAGGGGAGCCGGGAGGGAGAGCTCCACCACCTGGAGAGTCCCTGTGAAGGGGCGCTACTGTCCTCTGCACCTGTGGGTTAAGATAAAGGGAATCCCACATCTGAGACATAGGTGTCTGGAGATCTGGATGGCGAGGGGTCCTGTATTTGGCTTCCCACGTGGAACCCCTGGAAGTCAGCAAGATCCCTGGGGAAGACGTGGCTGTGAGAGATGTCTACTAGAGAGGACCTTATACAAACCTGAGTTAGCTTCCCATGGGCTCACATGATGCAAGAGCAGCAGAATGGCCCAGTGCTCCCTGGGGAAATGTTGTGGAGTCTTAGCCCAGGAATTTCCCTGTCGGCTAACAGGATGGAAGCAGCAGAGTGCAGCAGCAGGGGAAGTGCCAAACCTGAAGTAGCCTCAACAGGAAGAATGAAGGATGGTCTAACAGCAAGCCACACAGACTGACAACAAAGGCCTAAGCAGGATACTTGACATTTTTGCAAATGCCAGTAGGAAGGATTGCCTATGGAAAATCAGAGGCCCAGCTCCACCAACTGCAATAGAGCAACCTAAGACTTTACACCAGAGAAAAGCATCAAGAGAGATCCTGAATTTCCCGATTCATTTTCCACATCCCCCCCCCCCGAAAATGGGGGCTTTATGTGCAATTAAAAATTCCACTTCTTACACCCCTGAGTTTGTGGATTAGATACATATCCCTTATATTCATTACCACAAATGAGTGTTTTACTATTTTTATAATAGGGGGTGAAAATAATCCCTATTTTTGGAGATGCACTTCCCTGATATTAGTGGCTTTAAAAAGGAGTCTGACTCTGGCCAGTTTGGCTCAGCGGTAGAGTGTCAGCCCGTGGACCGACAAGTCACAGGTTCAATTCCGATCTAGGGGGCATGTACCTCAGTTGCGGTTCAGTCCCCGGTCCTGGTCAGGGTTGTGCTGGAGGCAACAAATCAATGTGTCTCTCTCACGTCGATGTTTCTCTCTCTCTCTCTCTCACTCTATCTGAAGATAAATGGAAAAAAGCATCCTCGGGTGAGGATTTAAAAAAAAGTCTGTACAACAGTGCTTCTTAAACTGTATTATGCACACAGATCCCCTGGGGAATCCTTGGAAAGTCAAGATTCTGATTTAGTACCTCTTTGGTGAAGCCTGAAAGTCTTAATTTTTAACTAACATCAGGTGATGCTGATGCTGCAGGTAAAGAGACCATCCTTGCAATAGTGAGGCTGTTCAAAATACTGGTAGATGACTACACTACATTGGTTTTCAATATACATTGACAAGCACTTTCTTAAATAAACACAGGGTGGCGCTTGTACATAAACTGTACCTTGTACTTATGGTACAATTTCAGACTACAGTTCAAATTCAAAATGAATGTATGCAACAAAAAGAAAGTTCATTCAGAATAAGTCAGCTAAAAGCAGGTAGTGTGGATAAAAAGATAATGCTAATTAACTCCCTTCATGGGCTATCAATGACCTGTTTCAACTTTTAAAAAACTATTATCTCTAAATATTTAAAGTTTGAATGTCACTGAATTGAATTTGCTCATTTAGAATTTTGTCTTTTTAATCATATAGAGAATTTTAAATAATATAAGAGCATCTTCTAATCTTTAATATACATTACCATCTTTTTTGTTGTTAATCCTCACCCGAGGATTTTTTTTCCATTGATTTTTTTTGTTTTGTTTTGAGAGAGAGAGGAAGGAAGGGAGAGGGAAGAGAGAGAGAGAGAAACATCAATGTGAGAGACACATAAACTGGTTGCCTCCCACACTCATCCTGACTGGGGATCAAACCCATCAGGTATGTGCCCCTGACCGGGAATCAAACCCAAGACCCTTTGGTCCATGGGCTGACGCTCTAACCACTGCCACTGAGCAATTCTGGCCAGGGCTATATGTTGCCATCTTAAACACAAGTGTGGTAGCAGGCAAGAACGTATTCGTTAAAATACTTCATTTTACTTTTTACTGAGGAAATGATGAGTCAGGTTAATCCAATAATCAGTGAAGTGGGACTTGGTTAAGGCTGAAAATGCATCAGTTCGAGTCCTATCAATATTAGCAAAGATTATGGAAGATTTTTTAAATGCCAGTATCTAGGACTGCTGTAACTGTAATTGAATAGGCACTTTTATAAACATTGTCCACACTATTGATACATCAATTTTGCAATAGGTTTCAAGAGTCCTTACAGACTTTAAAATGTTCAGTTCCTTTTATCTGGTACTATTGTAATGTTCTGGGAATTCTGTTTCCTAGAAAGTAATCAGATTTTAGTTTTGTTTTTTTTTAAACACATACTCTTAGAACACCTGTGCACTCCACTTCCTCATGAGCTGTGTGCTTAGCAAGTCGGTTGAGTCTATTACCAACATGTTCACGCCAGTTATCCTCATAAGTATATAATTTAATGAAATAAAACAAGTTTATGTAAAAGTTGAACATTCTAAAGGACTGCAAATAGCTAAAATAAATTGCTACCGATTTAGTGGTGAACAAAAATATGTATATAAGGAAAGCATAAAACTATAGATTCTGAACTCAGATTCCTTTGTAAATGCTTTCTGTTCATACTCTAAAGAAACCAGAAGTGGATCTTAGACCAGTGGCTCTCAACAGGGCAGTACTGACCCCTAGGGGTTACTTTGGAAAGTTGTCGGGCATCTTGGGTTGGGTTTCAATACTGGTGTTTAATGGACGAGGGGCAGGGATATGAGATTTCCTGTAATGACCGGTACAACTTTGTAAAGTCTAAGTGAGTATTCATTTAGGTAAAAAGCCACGTTTCCCCCCAAGGAGGACCACAACTCCTCACACCTTAAGTGTGGGCTTCATACACCAACTTCCTTCCAAAGAGCAGTGTGGAAACGGGGTGGGTGGGGACACCTGACAGCAGCCCTGCAGCCAGGTGATGGGGTTCCCATCCCCCATGGCACATCTTGTTGGTAGTAGGTGCCTCTGCTGTGATGAGAAGGGCACTGTACCCCTCTAGGCTTCCTCCTGAAAACCCATAACCCCAGTTTCATCATGAGAAAAACTTCAGAAAATTCCAACTGAGAAACACACTACAAAGTATTTGACTTGTACCCCTCAAAACTGTCGGTTACCAAAAACAAGGAAAGTCTGAAGAACTATCACATTCTAAAGGAGCGTAAGCAGACATGAAGATGAATGTAATGTAGGATCCTGTAACAGAAAAAGGTGAAAACTAAAATATCTGAGTGAAATAGAGACTTTAGTTAGTTATAACATATCAATATAGGTTCATTAGTGGTGACAAATGTACCATACTAATTTAAGACTTTAAAAATAAGATAAACTGGTTCAGCCAGTGTGGCTCAGTGCTTGAGTGTCAACCCATGCACCAGGGGATCGCCAGTTTGATTCCCAGTCAAGGCACATGCCCAGGTTGTGGGCCAGGTCCCCAGTGTGGGGCATGCAGAAGGCAGCCAATCAGTGTTCTCTCTCTAAAATCAATAAAGGAAAAATACTGAAAAAAAAAAAAAAGGTAAACTGGGCATGGAGTATATGGGAACACCTCTGTAGTCTCTTTGCAACATTTCTATAAATCTAAAACTATTTTACATTTGCACAGTGATTAGTCAACAACACCATGTTATAAACTTCAAACTTGCTAAGATACTAGCTCTTCACTGTTCCCACCACAAAAAAGAAATGACAGTAATATGATGTGATACAGGGGTTAGCTAATGCTATAGTGGTCATCATTTTGCCATATATAAATGTATCAAATCAATACATTATATACCTTAAATGTACACAATGTGTGTCAATTATATTCCAATTTTAAAAAACTATAAAGCCTGCTTTTTATTATCTGAGCCTATAACTTCTATTTTACTTATTAGTACATATAAAACATTGATATTCACCAAGGACAAAATTATCCTATAAGCAGGAGGAGTATTATTCTTGTTTGTTTGTTTTTGTTAATCTTCATGCAAGGATATTTTTCTATTGATTTTTAGAGAGAGTGGAAGGGAGGGAGAGAGAAAAACATTGATGGGAAAGAGACACATCGACTGGTTGCCTCCCACAGGACCCCGACTGGGGCCAAGATGCCCTTGACTGGGAACCGAACCCAAGACCCTTAGGTCCACAGGCTGACACTCTAACTGCTAAACCAAACCGGCCAGGGAAAGTATTCTTCTTTTATTCAAAATTTCAGCAAGAACTGATAACCATTTTGGAAAATGATGTTTCCAGCAATAACATTATTCATGGTCTTTGACCAATAAAACACACCTGTTATCAGTATGCACTTAAAGTTGGAACATTATAGCTCTTCATGAATCGTGAATTCAGTCTTTATTTTAAAACATCAAATAGTGTTAACAGTACTTTATTGAACAGTTTTACTTCTTCCACACTTAAGAGTAAGCACCTGATTTTGACACTGTATTCTAGTGCAGCAGTATCTGAGCATTTACATATTGAAACATTATATTAGAAATTGATTCCCTTCCTCTTTTATATTACAATAAAGGCATTGTATTGACCCTTTTGAAACTGTGTACATAGGAAGTTATATATACATTTCAGTTTAGGAGAGTGGGTACGACAGATGTGACATATGTTCCGATGTTATAATGAAAAGGGTTGCTAAGTCGAGAACCACTATGGAAGAGCTCTTGGAAGTCAGAAGTGCTTTATGATTTCTCACGGCGCCCTGTACCCACTAGGTCCTGTGTTCCTTTCACTATTGCCGTTTCTTTGTACGCCTACTCAGGAGCCCCTACTGGCTCCCTGTTCTGGCAGTCTCAATTTTACTACCCTCAGGCAGGCAGCTTGGGCAAATACAATCCATTTAAGTCAGTGTCTCATTCCCTTTGCCAGTGATTAAGATAGACAAGTGACCCAGTTCTGATGGAGACATGAGGAAATCTGCTGAGGAACAAAAGGTTATTTTCTTTCACTGGACATTGTTGGTTTATACATCACCCCTGGAATCATGGCAGACATCTTTGATCATGAGCTTATTAGCCCAAAAAGAAACCGCTGGAAGGCCGGGAAAGATGGAAGGAAACTGAAGTTCTTGGTATCTCTGAACCCTCTACCAACCCATTCCAGAATCTCTGAAGTGCTTGTTACATTTGATAAAGTTAGGTCTCATTGCGAGCAGCAAGCATCCTTACTGATATAACCCTCTTCACAGGTAGTTGTGTTACTAAGAAATATTTATGCACGCTGTACGCAATCCTGGTCAGAATGCTATGGAGGGAAGCTGTAAATGACTCAGCCATCGGTTCTACTTCAAACCACCCATGGAAAACTTCTTTGGGGTCACCGTTTCATATCGCCACTTCTCAGGTAAGTTAATTTGGAAGTAAATAAACTGTCCTAATTCCTAGCAAAGCCTGGTGACACAACAGATCTCTTTTCAGTGCATATAAGGATGAATTTAAGGAATAAGCAAGTGCTGTCCTTTGACAGATTTTACTTAGCAAGTACAGAAGGCTTCTTCTGTGGAAATAAGGGTTAAATGACTGAATTTATTCATCCAATAACCCTCCCATTTGATAATTCCATACCTAACACATGAAACTGGTCGTTGGTTCCCACCTTTTGACAGGTGGTTGTTCTTCTCTGTGCCTTTTCTCCCTCAGCCCTTTATTCCTTACTTTCTCTTCTCACCTTTCCCGCAGCTCCTTACCCACAGAAAGAATCAGCTTTGCAGGATATAAAGAACTGCATCTATTCCCAGGCTGCAAATCCTTGCAGTACTCCCTAAGGGCAGCCTTTTTCTTCTAAGAAAGAACAGGTTGGACAGTTTACAAATTAAAGTCTCATTTAAATCTTTATTTCAGTCTGTAAGTACTGCTATTTGTTTGAGTTGCTCACGTAAATCCATTCCGCCTCGAAAGGAAACGTCCAGCGCTCCCAGCAGTGCAAGTCCAGGGCGAGCCCCCCAAACCTCCCTCTAGAGTCTGCGGAAAACCTCACTGTGTCACACGCTCGCTGGCTCTTCTGCTGCTCTGGGCCTTAAGAGATTTTCGAAATAGTTTGCTTTTTCAAAATCCATCAAATGTCAATCATGGCAGGGAAGACCACTGAGCTGATTTGTGATAATCAAGTTACATTACCACTGATCATAATTCATTCTAAATGATTACTAGCATCTGGAAGGCCTTGGGGTAGAGGCTCTTCACAAGCAATCCAAGCACCCCTCACACGAGAATACCTGTGTGTACAGACTCCCTCCCCCCACCGAGGCATCAGGCCGGATTGCTGAGAGGATCGTGCTAACTCACCGCAGGTTTTCATGACAGGAGGCTATGGAGGACGTATTGTGAGGTACTAATTTATGAGGTGTAATCTAAATGCTAAAAATGAGGATGAAATCTTGAGTGCTTGAGCCTATTTGTATTGCCTTCGATTCATTCCATTTATTTGACATGTCTAGCCTGTTTTCTTTCTCACAGGCTAGTTGGGAGGATTAAATGAGATAAAGTATGTGACAGCCTAATCCGGTGTCTGCATACCCCGGAAATAATACTCCTGCCCTCCTCCCTATCCCAAAATAAAGCGGTTAGTCCTTGAACTTTGAAAGTACTTTACACATAAGAAGAAACTAGTTTTTCTGTCAGCATCCTCATCAGCATGATTCTGACTTGCTCCCAAGAGTGTCTTCTCTTTTGTAAAAGAGACACTTGATACTATTTGAAGTACACATCAAGTTTCATTTTTGTTCAGTGTTCTTTACTTTCCACTGTGATTTCTGAGGAACTGAAACCCCAAAAGGTGTGACCACATCAAAAACAAGTTACATGTTTTGTTTTTTGAAAATGATGATTCAAAGGCAGACTTGTAGAGAAGTCAGTTAGAAGGGAGAAGGCAAATTCAGCCTCTGAAGGGAAATGTTCTAACTTATCTAAAAAAGTAATGTTACACAACCACATTCAAGGACATGAGACAGAACACTACTTGAAAACTACAGCGACTGACTAGGTTGGTGAAAACCACAGCTGCAGGAGAAGGGAAACGGACTTGAGAGTAATTTGAACTTGGGATAACAAACCATCAGTCCTAGGCGCTTCTGTTACCTGAATATCGCCAATATTCAGGTAACTCCTGCTTCCCATGTTTACCTCCCACAGGTGTCACTGAAATCTCAAAGTAGTCTTCTCACAGAACTAAATGATAGTCATCATTTTGTTAGGATTCAAAATTTCAATCCAGTAGCCATCGGGATCTTGAATAAATGCCAGGCCTTTCATTTTACCTGTAAAATGAAATGATTGTCATTATTAAAAGGACTATTAAAAAACCGAAAATTTTAAAATATATTTTTATTACTTCCAATTTTAATTTGCACTTCAATAAATTAACGTACATTCTCTTTATGGTTTTAATTTTTTTTTTTTATCCTCACCCGAGGATATTTTTCCATTTTTTGTACAGATAGAGTGGGAGGGAGAGGGAGGAAGGGAGAGAGAGAGAGAAACATCGACGTGAAGGGACACATCGAATGACTGCCACCCGCACGACCAACCAGGGCCGGGGACAAACCGCAACCGAAGTACGTGCCCTTAGCGGGAACCGAACCCGGGTCTCTCCGGACCGCAGGCCGACGCTCTAACCGCTGAGCCAAACTGGCCAGGGCTATGGTTTTAATTTTTAAAAATTCTGTTGTCAGTGTTGACCAAATGCATGTTTTTCACAATGACTAATATTCTATCTTCTACACATAGGTGGAAACCAACTCTGAGGTGGAAGAAAATAAGGAGGTGCTCAGGGGAGCAGGTGGCATGGCGTACCCACAGCCAAAGGACCCAGATGCCTGACTCATACAAATCCTGTCAAGACTGTTTGTGGAACCCAAAGTCTGCCAATCAGATTCTTTCCCACAGGAATTCATAACTGGGATTAAAAGGCTAGTACGTCTAGCATTAGGGCTAGTTGCTTAAATGGAAAAAATGTGACCTCAGAAATTTCTTACAGGACCAACATGCTGATTTGTTGACTCCTATCTCCGGTTCATTTCCCCAAGATCAACCCCAGAGGAACACAGATGGCAAGTGGGAAAAAAATTAAGAACCTCTTGGGTGATGGTTGGTTGGGGGATGGGGTGGGGTGACTACTTTAACCTGGTCTATGCGAAAGGGGTTACTTCTGGCCTGGACCAGAAGGCAGTCCATCATGGCTGTGGGAGAAAAATAAAAAAAAGAATAAGCAGCACCCTGGCCAGTTTGGCTCAGCAGTTAGAGCGTCGGCCCACAGACCATATGGTTGTAGATTTGATTCTGGTCAAAGGTGGGTACCTTGGTTGTGGTTCGTCCTGGGCCCTGGTCAGGTTGTGCGGGAGGCAACCAGTCGATGTGTCTTGCTCATGCTGACATTTCTCTTTCTCTCTCTCTCTCTCTCTCTCTCTCTCTCTCTCTCTCTCTCCCTCCCTCTCTATCTGAAGATAAATGGAAAAAAATTTTAAAAAAGAAGCAACCTCCCTGGCCGGTTTGGCTCAGTAGTTAGAGCATCGGCCTGCGGTCCAGAGGGACCTGGGTTCAGTTCCCACTAAGGGCAGTTTGTCCCCGGCCCTGGTTGGGTCATGCAGGTGGCAAACACTTGATGTGTCCCTTTCACATCGATATTTTTCTCTTTCTCTCTCTTTTTCCCACTCTATCTGAACAAAAAATATGGAAAAATGTCCTCGGGTGAGGATAAAAAAGAAAAGAAAAAAAAAAGCAACCAATGAATGCATAAATAAGTGGAACAACAAATTGATGTTTCTCTCTCCCTTGTTTTCTCTCTAACAGTCAATCATTTTTTTAAAAAATCAAAAGAACACAAATCAGACAGTAGATTTTCAATAGCAGCACTGGATGGAAAACTAAGACAATGGAGTTTTATCTCCGTAATTGAATAAAAATAAACCTAAAAACTGCCATTCGTGTATAAAGCCATGGTTCTCAGGCATACAGAGCCTCAAAAGTTTGTCTCAAACCCTTTGAAAATAGTTTGGGTTGAGGTACTTAATAAAGGGACAGAAAAATCTAAAAATTGCTGTAAGAGATGTACAGAGAAAAGGTGATCAAATATCTTGATATAATATTTATTATCTTAAAAAAAAAGAATAATATCTCAGTCGGGGCCATAGTAACATGATGGGAGCAAGTTCTTTTCCTATTGGGGAAGATATCTGAATACCAAATCTTTCAATTGAAATAAAAAGAAAGAATTAAAATAAAACAGTGAAGTGTTTCAAGCAAAAACAGATAATAAATTATGACAGAAACTGATCTAAGTAAAATAAATGATAATACATGTACATCCAACAAAATCTGGATATATACTATTTCAAGAGACATATAAAACTTAAGGACATGCAAAGGTCATAAAAGATGAAGAAGAAATATCAGGCAATTATTAACTGAAGAGATCTGGTATAGTTATATTAATATCAGATAAAAGGGACGTTAAGGAACTTACTTTGGGGTGGCTTGAGAACACCTGAGTGAAAGCTGGTGGCCACTGAGAAAATGTGGTGGGGTCGAAGGGTGAATGAGGAGCCGACATTTTTGACAGCTCCCATATCCTGTGTCTAATCCCTGGTGAAGCCACCCTGTCACTGTCTTTCAGGTCCCTAAAATAAGTAGGTATTCTTCCAATAATTTCCCTTCTTTCCTTAAGCTGGTTGAAGTAGGCTTCTCCCAAGTTACTTGCAAGCAAAGGGTTTTACTACAGCAGTGCCCTCCGTGGGTGCTGAGTAAAAGTTCCCGAACTACAGAGAGGCCGAGGGGCCAGGAGCAGACTCACCATCATCAGGTTTCTTCACAAACTTGACTCCCAGTTCTTCAAATCTTTTACAAGCACTGATTACATCAGGAACAGCAATTCCGATATGACCTTAGGTGACCACCCCCAAAACAAGGCAGAGAGAAGGAAGAAATCATTACAACAGGGTGGCCAAGTGCCACAGACGGCTCCCCAAACTGTAACACTGACTATGTAACAGCCAACATAAGCTGCAATCCCGTTATCTGGACTGAGAGGTTTAGTTCACGGCAGAAGTGTATGTTAGCAAAAATCAAAATTATTAACCATAGTTTTTGTGCTTTTAAGTTAAAAAGTCTACTAGATATATAACACAGAGGCTCACTGTGAGAGAGCAGATGTAAAGTTTAGACTGAGACTATGAGATTAAACAACTCCTAAATAAAAGTATTTGTGCAAATAAAAATAAACATGCTCCTAATAAATTACTTATAATGTTTTAGATTTGTTACAATCAGAAAAAGGTCTGCAATGCAAATCCATATGTATTACACACAAATAGGGAAACATACCAAATCCTCGGGGGTCTGAATTGCCACTGTGGTAACTCTGGCTCTCATCGTCTTCAGTGCCCCAATTGCTATAAAAGGAGGGAGAACGTAACTACAAGTGACCTGTACAACAGATATTCTAAAAAGAAAGTTGCAACAGCCCTGGCCAGTTTGGCTCAGCGGTTAGAGCGTTGGCCTGCGGTCCGGAGAGACCCAGGAAAGAAGTTGCAACAATTTATCTTTGAAATCTTACCATCTAGATAGATAGATAGATAGATATTTGCTGCTTAATATACTTGGTCTAATCTCTGCTATTTAAATATTAAGTTTTCAACTACAGAAAGGGCAAATGGGCAAAGTGTGATTTTAACTAGACTAAGGACACTAAACCAGGCACCTGGATAACAATAATAAAAGCAACTACCATTTATTGTGCTGAATGCTTTATATTTCATGACATCCTCACAATAGCTCCATGGGCTATGTTTGAGTATCTTCATTTTATAAAGGAGACTGTCACTTACAGAAGTGATATAACTTGTTCAGGGTCGCAGAGCTATTGTCAGAGTCAAGACTTATGTCTAGGTCTGTCTGACTCCAGAGCTGTTTTGAATCAGGGGGCACATTAAATCACACACCCTGAAACAAACGCTGTGTGCTAGTTGTTAAAGAGTGCACAGAAACAACATAAGGAATGAAAGGAAAGGGAATGCCAATGCCAACATTTTATGAAGACCGTAGTTGTAGCACCTAAACATTTGTTAGCTAGTTTGGCAAATGTCCTGCCATTTCCGTCTTTGATTTTCCTCTACCTGGAAAGCAAACGCGGTCACTTGTCCCACCTATGTCACAAAAACAGTACAAAAACCAAAAGATCCATGAAAAACCAAACATACTGTTACGAACACAAAGTGATTAGGCAGATGAAGTTTTAATCAAGTTGGTAAGAAAAAAATGTGTAAAAAAACACAAACTTTTTAAAAATTTGGAATATATAAAAAGATAAAAACTCATACTCACTGTGTCAGTTCAAGCGTAGCTTTTCTGGAGAACACCCACGCTACCTTTTCATCTTTATCTTTTGGGATGTCGTTTTTGTCCTCATAAGCCAAGAAATAGAGTGAAAATTTCATAGTAGGGAAATCTAATTTTTGGAGTAGCCTGAAATTAACAACAAGTCTGAATCAATTAAGAGCAGGAAAGGTCAATTCATACTAAAGTCAACCTAACAATAGTCAAGTTCCAATAACCTGTGTGTAGCGAGGCCATTTTATTTATTTATTTATTTAAATGTTTTTAATTGATTGTTTAGAGAGAGAGGAAGGGAGAGAGAGAGAGAAACATCAATGTGACAGAGACAGACATCAATCAGCTGCCTTCTGCACACCCCCTCCTGGGAATCGAACCTGCAACCCGAGCATGTGCCCTGACCAGGAATCAAACCAGGACCTCTCAGTCCATGGGAGGACGCTCAATACACTGAGCCACACTAGCCGGGCGGTGTGAAGCTATTTTAACAGGAAAAGCTGGGTGTGGTTCAGTTGATTGGAGTGTAATCCCACACCATTGGGTCCTGGGTTCGATTCCCTGTCAGGGCACATACCCAGGTTTCAGGTTCAATCCCTGGTCAGGACGCGTACAGGAGGCAGCCAATCGATACTTTCTCTCTCCCTCTCCCTTCCTCTCTCTCTAAAATCAATGATAGTAATAATAATAATAATAACAACATATCCTCGGGTGAGGATTAAAACATAACAATCTATTCATCTATAAATATCAGTGGAATAAAAAAATTTTTAAAAGCAAAGTTTTGTAGTTCATCATTCTTCAAATACATACTTCAAATATAATGAAACAGCTGGAATTATGGTACTCGTTTATAAATGGCAAAAGATATCTTCAAAAGAAAATTTTATCTTTAATGAAAAATATAATGCATTACTTACTTTACTGTCCTTTCAGATATATGACATTCAGTTAAAGAAAATAAATGCACTGGAAGTATGTGATTGTCTAACCACTAACCTGGACATCTGAAGCTGAATCAAAATATTAAATGTAAACTGTAATTGAAGAATACCATTTAAGTTTAATAAATAAATAAATGTATTGAGTTCTTACTTAGCCAAACTCCTAGGGATAAATTTGACGATATGTGGTAAGAGAGAAGGACAGATTACTGTCACAGAAGATGTGAATGTCAACAACTACATGTTTAACAGCATCGGGTTCTGCAGAAAGGTCAAACAGCACGGAGGAGGAGAACGGGTCACCAGAGGGGGAAGGTCCCGTGCGGTGCGCAGTTCAGCAGCACGGGCAGCAGAGGCTGCACTGCCCTGGCCTGGGAGAGGATGGAGGGGCACAAGTAGTAGCAAGCGTGGCCTGCTTTCACAGATGGTGGGTGATGATGGGAAGGAGGGCGAGAGAGCAAAGGACAAGAACTACCCTAGAACAGAGTAGGCGGAGGGGACTGAGCCAGTGGAAAAGGAGAGACTGACAGGAGAGGAAGAGTGGGTGAATTATTAATCCTGAGGTTTTAAAAAGGATGATCGAAGTCATGGCCTGTAAAGTGAGTTTAGAGCGTAGGATTATTTTACAAGGAATAGACTAGAACGAGAATGCATACAATTTCCTTTAGATTGTTGAAAATTAAATGTTCCAAGATGACCTCATTCATAATCAATAAGAGGGAATGACTGAAGCAAAGCAAAAGAAAAGTTCCTATCATTCTGTTGTCAATGGTTTAACTGTCACTGCTTTGTAACATGCCTTGGCCCACTAAAAGCTACGCACTGACTTACCACAAATAAGACTTACTCTATCTGTTTATAATAAAGAATCAAACACTTCAAATACTGCATGAACACGACCTCTGCCCCCAAAGCAGACTTCCCAGCCTTACAGACCAATCAGTGGGAAATGCAGCACATGACCTGGCTGAAGCTTGCTTTTCTCAGCTGAGTGTATCTTTTCAGTACAATGTCAGGCTCCTACTTGGGGGCTTTTAAAAACAAGGTCAAGCCCTGGCCAGTTTGTCTCAGTGGTTGGAGCATCGGCCTGTGGACCAGAGAGTCCCAGGTTCAGTTCCCGCTAGGGGCACGTACCAAAAAAAAATAATAATAAAAAAATAAATAAATAAAAACAAGGTCCACGCTGAAGTTAATCAGACTGGGCCTCAAATTTGGGTCTTTAAGCTTTGGTTTCTTGCTTCACGTAAAATGGGACATAAGCTACCTTATAGGCCTACTCTGAAGATGGAATAAAATGCCATGTAAAATGCCTTCAAACCACCCAGTGTGCAATTGGTTTGTTTTCATTCCTCCCTTTAAATATGCTATAAATATATGCAAAATACTTTTTCTGAGGGAAAAAAAAAATGGCAAAAGACTGTTTACAGCAGTTATCTTCAGGGAGAAGAACTAGGAGAGGGACGTTATTACTTTTTATTTTGTATTTTTCTGAATTGGTTGGGTTTTAAAAACATAGACATATACTGTATTACCTGAATTTTTCTCTCAATGGAGGTTATCTAGACAGTAAATTAAAGATTGTGGTTTTTTTACTCTTTATATTTCAAAAACAAACAAAACACCTCAAATCAAGGAAAATAAACAAATGTACTTTAAGAATTACAAGATCAGTGGATAATACCTGTTTAGCAAAAGAAAACACATCCAATAAAAATGGGACAGATGGGCAGTTTTAGGTAGATTCATTCATTTTCTAAGTAATACGTCTTCAAATCTGCATCTTTTCTGAAGTAAACAAGAGGCTAAAAGTAGCTATAACATCAGAAGGGTCTGGACACCCTGAGGATTTAACTGGCAGCTCTCAGACAGAAAGGAGTTAGCGAAAATACAAGTACTGGTGTCTCGCTGCCCAGTGAGCCTGGCTGGGACAGAGGAGAGGAACTTGACAAGCCCTGGCCAGGCAAGCCTAGTCCCACACTGCTGGCTAAAAGGACTTTTGGAATTTATAATGCAAACTTTAACCCATTTTTAAAAATAGATCTGAAAACATTCCCTCTATTTGCAAAGCTATGTATTTAAACATTACAGGTGCCAATAAATAGTTTACTTACGTCATTCCAAGAACTCGGGTATAAAAATCCAAAGACTTTTTAGGATCCTTAATTCTCAGCATGGTCTGCTGCAACAGAAAATCCTAAGGAGACACAGTATATAGTAAACACCTTTCAGTGTTGCCACTTGTTACCAACATTAATTGTGCTTTCTGTAACAAGGTGCAAATAGTCTGCCACTGTAACATAATGTTTAGGAAGGAAAGGAATTTGTCCCCTCTGCCTACCATGGTAATCACCTGGAAAGGTTCCATGCCTACTCCCTACAGTTTGGGCTCTCTACCCAAGGGTATTTTCTGGTCACAAGAGTGGGGCAGGTCCAAAGTGCCAGGGAGTTTACACCCCAGGAATGCCCCTCAGCTGATAAAGGATAAAAACCTGGCTTCGTTGCCCCTTGGTGGGACAGTTCTGAGGTCTGCTCCACACCGTCTCCCAGAGGCTGCCCGGCAAGAGGAAGCCCAAATGCCCTCACTCTCACACTTTGTGTTGCCTCTGTTCCACTCAAGATTTCTTTGACTACCTCCCAAAGAAACAACTGAGAACCAAACCCTTATCTCCAGTCTGCTTTTGGGTGTCCCAAACTAAAACAGTGATATTACAAGTAGTCCAATCACTACAAACTTGGTTGAATGAATGCATATGTGCCCTTACAGAACTATGTTTTGGTAATCATAGCAAGGAGTTACTCACAAAATCCTAAACTCCTCAGTAACTAAAAGGTAAAAAGTTACACTAATACCATTGTGAAACTGTCCAATTTAAAACTCAGAAAACAGTCCAGCCAGTGTGGCTCAGTGGTTGAGCACTGACCCATGCACCAAGAGGTCGCTGGTTCAATTGCCAGTCAGGGCACATGTCCAGGTTGTGGGCTCGATCCCCAGTGTGGGGCATGCAGGAGGCGGCCAATCGATGGCCTATATCATTGATGTTTCTATCTCTCTCTCCCTCTCCCTTTCTCTCTCTCTAAAAATCAATAAAGAAAAAAAAAATTTAAATAAAACTCAGAAAACAAAAGGCTTGATTTGACCGATAAAAGGGTAGAGAGTATAATAACTCATAGAGTTAAGATTATTAGCACTAATAGTTTGCCTAAGGGTCTGCATCGTTAGGATGTTTAACTTCATTAGGTTCATAACTATGAGGTGTTACTACCTACAGGTATTAATATCCCCATTTAATAGATGAAAAACATATCCAGGGTGACTAAATTAATTGTCCCAACTTTCTGATGCAAGTTCAGGTCTTCTTCTTCCACAGGTATCTTCCAGACCATGAGTCTGTTAACTACATTTGTGCTTCCTAACAAATTTTTATTCTTGTTATACCCAAGGACTTGACAAGACAGGCCTGAAAATTCTGAATTTTCGCTTCACAGACACACAGACATTCCTCCCCTGTAACTCACATCATATAAAATACAAATGTATTTGATTCATTCAGCATCATTAGGAAATTATATTTTTCTATTTTGCTAACATTTTAAGTAACCAAATTGTACTCTTATTGAAAACATTAAAATTCTCATTTAAGCCCTGGCCAGTTTTGCTCAGTGGTTAGAGTCAGCCCACAAACCAAAGAGTCTCAGGTTCGATCCTGGTCAGGGGCACGTACCTCAGTTGTGGTTCAGCCCTGACCCTGGTCACGGTCGTGCAGGAGGCAACCAATCGATGTGTCCCTCTTGCATCAATGTTCCCCTCTCTCTCCCTATTTTATTCTCCCCCTCCCTCCCACTCTATCTGAAGATAAAATGGAAGGATATCCTCAGATGAGGATTAACAAAACAAAAAAATTCTCACTTAAAACAAAACTAGACTAGCCCTGGCCAGTTTGGCTCAGTGGTTGGAGCGTCAGCCCTCGGACCAAAGAGTCTCGGGTTCGATTCCAGTCAAGGATACATACCTTGGTTGTAGTTCAGTCCCTGGCCCTGGTTGGGACCATGCAGGAGGCAATCAATCAATGTTTCTCTCTCTCTCTTGCTCCCTTCTTCCCTCCCATTCTGTCTGAAAATCCATGGAAAAATATCCTCAACTGAGGATTAAAAAAAAAACCCCATAAAACTAGACTAAAAACTATCTTAATAGGCTGATCTTAATATAATAACTTAATTCTTCATTCATAGCTCATAATCATATATAAGGCAGTTGGCTCTGAAGTTATGTTTCTGGAATATCTGGATAACTTTTCTCCATCAGGTGCTACACTCCTAAGTTTCAGCAAACAGCTGAAAAAGAAAAAAACAGCCCCTGACATCTAGCCCAGCACTCACATTCGGCTTTGATTTCTCCCCTTAAATGTAATTGCAAATACAACTACAGTGAAGTGACCAAATAAAAGCAGTAGAACCAATTCCACTTCATACTTTTGTTCCGGCAGAGATTAAAACAGGCAGTGTGATCCCTACAAAAACAGCAAATATTCTTCTCCCCGGCTAGTATGAGTGACTGCTGCTTCTTTATCAGTTACAGTATTTGCCTAAGGGCATCTCCAAGCCAAAAGACAGGTGTGACCAAGGCAATGACAAAGGCTGCACCTGGCAGGCCTCATGGGGGACAGCTGCCTTCCTCACACCAGGCTTGGTGCACAGCCTCTGCACTGCGGTCTCTGGAGAGAGGTGCAGGCAAGGACTAAATTCTAAAGATGTTCCTGGTCGTCCTACGAAACACTAATTGCTGCTGTGATGAACTGTGCAGATGAAATTAAGGTTACTAATCAAATGACCTTAAAATTGGAAGATTCTTGGATTATCCAGGTGGGTTCAGCGTAATCCCAGGAGATGTTAAAAACTGAAGAGGGCCCTGGCCAGTTTGGCTCAGCGGTTAGAGCTTCGGCCTGCGGTCTGGAGAGACCCGGGTTTGGTTCCTGCTAAAGGTACATACCTCGGTTGCAGTTTGTCCCTGGCCCAGGTTGGGTTGTGTGGGTGGCAACCACTCGATGTGTCCCTTTCACGTCGTCTCTCTGTCTCTCTCTCTGTCTCTCTCTCTCTCTTTCTCTCTCTCTCTCTCTCTCCCCCCCTCCCTCCCACTCTATCTGAACAAAATATCAAAAAATGTCCTCGGGTAAAAAATAAACAAACAAACAAACAAACAAACAAACTGAAGAGGAACCCAGAAGTGGAAGCAGAGAGGTGTGGCAGGAGAGGGTGTCAGATTCCAAGGATGAGAAGGATTCAATGTGCCATCACTGTCTCGGAGCCGTAGGGGCAGGGGTGCAAGGCGTTAAGGCTGGCCCCAGCTGACAGCAAAGAAACCGAGGCCTTAGTCCAGCAGCATTTGTTGAAAAGGCTGTCCTTTCTCCATTAAACTGCTTTCGCATTTTTGTCAAAAACCTGTTGGGCATATTAGTGTGGGCCTATTTCTGGTTTCTCCATTCTGTTCCACTGATCTGCGTCTCTCTCTTTCTCTGCCTTTATAATTCTGTCAGGATTATATTGTAGGCACATAGGACATGCACTGGAAACATCCTCGATTGTACCTTTAAAGTTTTTACACAAATCTTTGTAACCTATACATGTTTGTTAGATTTATACCTAAGTATTTAATGTTTAGCAATTGCAAACGATATTGTATTTTAAACCTTGGTTCTCATATCCTTTGCTAGTGTGCAGAAATACAACTGAATTTATCTATATTTATCTTGTATCTGGTGATCCTGCTGAACTCACTTTATTAGTTTTAGAACAGGTTTTTGTAAATTCCTTAGGATTTCCTATATAAAGAATTGATCTGCAAAAGTTCTATTTCTTCCTTCAAATCTGTATAACTATTATTTCCTTTTCTTGCCTTACTACACTGGCTAGAACTTCTGGCACTATGTTGAATAAGAATGGTGAGAGCAAATCAGGAAGAAAGCATTACCATTATAAATAATGTTAGTGTAAGATTTTTACAGGTGCTCTTTAACAACAAGCTGAAGAAGTTCCATTCCTATTTCTTCCTGAAAAAAAAAATCATGAATGGTATTGAATTTTATCAAATGCTTTTTCTACATCGATATGTCATGTTTTTCTTTAGCCTCCTTATGTGGTGAATTACTTTGATTGATTTAATCCATAATTAGCCTTCCATACGTGCAACAAACTCCACTTAGTCATGGTGTGTAATTCTTTTTATATATTGCTGAATTCTATTTGCTAATATTTTGTGTCTATATTTTTATGTCTATATATTTTATGTCTATATTTGTCTGTAGTTTTCTTTTTTTGTACTGTCTTCATCTGGTTTTAGTATCTTGGTAGTACTAGCTTTATAAAACGAATTGGGAAGTGTTCTCTTCAGTTTTCTTGAAGGGACTGTGTATAATTGATGTTATTTTTTCCTTGATGTTTGGAAGAATTTTTCAGTGAAATCATCTGGGCCTGGAGATATGTTTTTCAGAAGATTATTAATTATGAATTTGATTTCCTTGTGTTATAGAGCTATTCAAATTATTTATTTCATATTGGGTAAGTTATGACAGTTTTGTGTCTTTCAAGGAATTGTTCCACTTCAGGTAAGTTGTCTAAATTAATGCACATAGAGTTGTTTTTAATATTCCCTTAATGCAGTGATTTTCAACCTTTTTCACCTGATGGCACACACAAACTAATTACTGAAATTCTGCAGCACACCAAAAAAATACATTTTTCCCCCAATCTGACAAAAAATTAGGAATAATTTTGATTAGTTCACACCGGTCGGCTATTGTGCTGGCTATCTTTTTTGTTGTTGTCATTTTTAAAATTTGACAATCTAAGGGAATAGAGGCCAGTGCCCCTGACTAAATAGTCAGGTATTGCGACACACCAGTTGAAAAATCGCTGCCTTATGCCTTTCTGATGTCTGCAGTCTGGAGTGGTATTCCCTGTTTCATTGCTGATGTTGGTAATTTGTGTCTTCTTTTTTTCTTAGCTGTCTTGCTATAGTGTGTCAATTCTACTGTTTTTTCCCCTAGGAACCAGTATGTTTAATTGATTTTTCTGTTTTCAATTTCATTGATTTCTACTCTTTATTACTTCCCTCCTTCTGCTTCCTTTGGGTTATTTTGCTCTTCTTTTTCTTAGTTCTTGAAGAGGAAACCTAAATTACTAATTTGAGACTTCTTCTCT